GTTTCCTGCCTTGAGAGACATAAGAGAAAAAATATTTTTAAATATATATATTAAAAAATCTAAATTATACTGGGCAGCAAGATATCGGATGGCGAAATGACCAACGACTGGCATAAGAGAAAAAAAATAAATATTAACTTATTATCACCTTCAATATACTACCCTCCTCTATACCTACAAATCTTCACACTAATCCTCCATTGTTTGATACAGTTCTGGAAGTATTCTTCTGTTAGCTCCTTCAGGAGGCGTGTCGCTTCATCTTTCACAGCTTCAAGGTCTCAAGATTTGTTTCTTTTAGTGCAAACTGACGAATCGTGGTTTTTTACTTGTCGTCCTGAAATTGACGCATTACATGAACTGGAAGACCACAATTTCACCAACAGTCACAAAAAAGCTTAAGTGAACAAATTAAAATTGTGTCATCTCCTATCAGCAAGATCGAGAGTTTGATATTGTTGATCAATAGTTCAGTAACTCAGTGAAGGTGAACGATCCCATGAATATCGAAAAAAAATCAATCATCATTAGTTTGAATTTTAGTTTGGACATTGGGCGTTTTTGTCTCTCGGTGTGAAGTTGGTCTCATGCGTTGTTTGAGGATCATAAGTAAAAAAACCATGATTTGTCAATCAGCATTAAGAAGAAGATGTTGGTCCATGGAAGCTAGGAAAGAGGAAGCGTCACGCCTCATGGTGGAGCTGACAAGAAGACTTCCAGGACATACTGAAGGTATATCAGGTATCTCGGACATATTGAAGGTATATCAGAAATATGATAATACGTAAATATGTATTAAATCAAAATAAAATGTTTTAAAGTATCAGCTTCATTATTTAATGGAAACAGCTCGTACGCATAGAAGGGAATACGTTCGGACGCGAAAAGATGTTCAGATATTTAGGAGATGAGTAGAAACACCTAAATTGAAGAAGAAATCAAAGCTAGGTTGAAGGCTCCTAGGAAATCAAAGGAAATGGTTATGGTTTTGTCGCACTACTTAGCTTGCGCCTCCTGTCCCAGAACTAAAAAGAACTTACTAGACTATTATCCTTATAGGTTGTTGTATAACAGTAACACTCGACTGCAAGTACCCATTTTACCTAGAGGCAGGAGAGGATTGAAAATAAATAAAAGATATTATCCTTGATTGTCGTACATAAAAAATTGTTGTGCTTAATAACGAAAGAATCCATAAATGTTTACAATGTTCTTTGCCGTTTCATAAGTGTTCACTGACTTATATAATGTGTGAACTATTTGCACGAGCCAATTTATTATGAAAATAAATAATTCCACATAAATAATTATTTGATTTTGTTTTCATAAGAAATGTTTTTCTAGTATATTCGTTTATGGCGCCCGAAGTATTGGCATAAATTTACGCAAGTAATTTGACTCCAGAAAAGTTCTCTTCAGCAAGTAAGAGAGGCAGAATGGCCTGAAGCTGAAGTACCAGCTACAAGGATAAAAAAGATATTTTTTTTTAAGAGAAAGGCAACACTGCCGGTACAGAGGAGCCATTGCAAGAGAGAGAGAGAGAGAGAGAGATAAAAGAAGGTCGGGACGAAGGGAAGGGCGGGGGGAGGGTGCTGGAAGTTGGAAGAAAGAGAGTATCGAACGAAAGTAAGAAAATCTGGCCTAATATATTTAAAATGAGGTGAGGATGAGAGTGCTCTCATGGAAGCCCCAGCGCCACCTAATTCCTCTTTTATAAATAATTCATAAGACCCGGGAGCTCTTCTACCCCGCCGTATTTAGGCAATAAACCCCAACCTCGGGGAATATTCATGAGGAGACCACAAAGAAACCGAGTCGTTAAGCCGGTCGGAGCCAGCAGAAAAGAGAATAGAAAAAAAAAGGAGGTAAAAGAAAAGAAGCCTCGCAGAAGTAATTATTTCGGTCTATCGTCCTACCTTTTGTTATAATTACAAGACACACCCTCATTAATATATTAATCCCAATTAATTCACCATACCTCATTTATCATCACCCACAAGCCGTTATATTCTTATAAGCAGTTTAATTTATTTTTTAAAAGTTAGATCCATATCCCTTAGCACAATCCTTATCTAGTTCCACTCATCCCTACAAAGCTCCTCGAAGGTGGAAGCGGCAGTGGACCAAAGATGTTTTGTAGTATATATCTTGGAGTTCAGGCAATGACCAAATTCTCCACTCAAGACATGAGTGTGTGTGGCTGAAGCGCTCTCACTCAAACTCCACTGGCTTTAGCACCAGTGAGGTTGCGAGAGTAGCTCAGGGATCTCTTATAGTCCTGCTTTTCCTTCTATAGTTGGAGGGAGAAGCCTGGCTTAGGGTTCTCTGCCTGATTGTATATATTGTATGACTGTGTTTTTATGTTTTTAATTTACTTATCTTTAGGTTATTTCATTTTTTATTGTACATAGTTTCTTTGATTATTATTTAGTTATTTTATTACTTTTGTTAATTTTATATTTTCTGTATATATGGTATGAATGTGTTCATATATCACTATAATTATTGTCCACGATACAGATTATTATATGTCTAAATAAATAAAAAATAGTTTGATCTAAATTAAACTAGACATGTACAACGGATTCTAATAATCGAAAGTAAATGAAGAAATTTTCACACGAAAAAAAATACTTAAGTATAATATATATATTAGTCCGCGTCTTTTTTGTCAAATTAGTAACACTCTCGTCTAAAAATTCGTGTGTGATTACGACTTTTTTATCGATGAAACTTCTAAGAAATTAATCAGTTTATTGTAAAAGTAGACAAAGAATAATTTATAATAAAACGTATTAGAGCAGGAGTTCCACAAGGTACTGAGACCATTACTTTTCAATATTTTCCAAGCAGACTTACCAGAGCACGACCAATCATTACCGGGAACATTTTATCATGATACTGAACTCCTTACATCTCAGAAAAAAACTGTAATCGCATATTTTATAATATCGGTTTTAGATACTGCAACGTGATACCCGTATATACCTAAATCAAACTCGTACAGCGCACCATTTTTAAGGCGGTGCTCGATTTTTTAATTTGTAATGTACATATTCATTAATTGCAAAACTTCGCAGTTGGCGAACTTATGTATTTTTTTTTTTAAGAAAAAGATGATTACTGTATTGAATTGAAGAGAATGTAAAATGTAATTAAAGTATAGTTTTAATGCATTTGGCTAGAAATTATTTAGAAGCGTTTGGAGTCGACATAGTCATTAATAACCAGCTAAAAGCCCTTAGTGCTATTATTATTATTTTTTTAAACTTCGTTAAACATCGGAAAAGGGTTTAGATACGGTGGGAAACATTAAGGGAAAATATCAAGCCGTCGACGTGTCGTTAAGTTGAACGAGGGGAGGGTTGGAGGGATGGATAGGGGGGATTTATTGCTGGTAATAGAAACATCAACTTCCCCCCTGCCTACGGCCCCCCGCGGCCACATAAAATATTCATTTATATAGCAGTTGTTTTCGGCCGGGTTTATCCGCCATCTCGGCCAACTGCTTCGCTTTATGGCTCCCGCTGGGGAAAAATATAAAAGCGAATAATTAAAAATGGCATATGTAAAGCTCTATCGAAGGTTTGATTAAGTCGGAAAAGAAACTTTTCCATTTGAATAACAATATGTAATTTAGTATGAGTATTAAGATCGATGATTAATGCCTTTACAGCCCATAATTTTCAGATGATTCGTAATTAGATGGTAATAGCAAATGCCGGTAAAACATGCCATGGAAAGCAGCATCCTGGAGCATAGTCGTATCTACGGTTGGGGAGGGGGGGGGGGAGAACTTTCGGGCTGAAGCCCTCACCCCAAAAAATGGTAAAATGTAACCATGTTTTATGGTAAAAAATATTTTTAAAATATCTCTTAAAGTATTATTGTTCGTGTAATTACATTTAATAGGACTTCAAAAATCACATAAACACCATTTCATATATGTAGATAATATATTTCTTTGTTTTTGGAGTAGTTATCGTTATATATATATATATATATGAAAAAAAAAAACCTTTCGGGCTGAAGCCCTCTCCCCCAAAAAATGAAATTCTGGATCCGGTAGTGTCCTGGAGGAATATAATGCATACGATCTTTAAACTAAGCCTTTCCGTTCCTTCGTGGCAAGCTTCAGCCTACGCACCTCAAAAAAAAAAAAAAAAAAATTGCGACGAAAGTTATTATAAATGGAGATAACCTTCTGAAGGCGTTGAACCATTTCCACACTTAAGCATTTCCTAAATACTACGTTCATATAAAGCAAGAAAAAAGAGACCTTCTATAAAATTAAAACAAAAAGTTTCAAATGTAATGGTCATTTACAAGAATGTCTAGAGTATCGGTGGCCAAAAATAATCATTCACTAATGACCGACAGAGAAACTAGGAAGAGAAGGAATTAAGTAGAGGCGGTTGATGCAGCTAGGACTTCGAGAAAGAGACTAAAGGACTCCTTAATGAGAAAGTACTCCTTTCATCCAACTTGATGTTCCTTCTTTTCTTAAACATTGGCTGGAACGCGATTAAATTATAGATTGAACATCGAGTAAGTAAATCAGGTAACTGTTTAATTTTAAAACAACGTTATTGTATAATAGATGAGTGTTGACAATCAAATTGGCTGAAAGGAGTCTTTTTTCATTGAGTTTTATGAAAGTATTCCTTTTTGACAGACTGTCCAAGTGGTGTGAGAGAAGCGACTATGCGCACCAACCTTAGTCTTCTTCTCGACGTTCTTTATTTTAGTAATGATTATAATATTTCTTATTTTGGAATACAATTATCAATATATTAAATTTCTTTAAAATTTATTCACGTTTTCCACACTGACTAATACCGTCACACGATTCATAAAATGAAATAACACATTATAATTATGAAGTAAACTGTTCTTTTTAACAATTAAATTAACTATGATAGAAGGTAAAACGACCCTGAGCCATCTGATGATATTATTTTGTAATTACCTTGGATATCGCTAATTACAATTATGAATGGATGAGCCACTTCGAGGGTACACCTATAGTGTTGTGTAATTGGCTCTTACCTGATCCTAACTACTCGCTAACTAGCCTCGCTGCCAGGGGCTGCCACATTCACGGCACCGCTCTGTTAGGATGTAAATCCCAGGATAATTAGGGGTGGTGATGTGGTCGGCTATATAGGCCCCGGTTATCAATTAATTCTCTGCCTGGGAGGTAAATCGTTTAATCGGGTGCAATTAACGCTGTATCTAGGACCACCTTAGACCCGTCTTCTGGCAAAGCAGCAGGTCTCAGGGAAATAACACCCTTTGCTAAAAGCAAACCTGAAAATAGCAGTTCAGTAAATTAGGGGGGAAAAATCCGTAAAATGTGATGGATTATTAATCACATAAAGAAGTAAGAAATTACATAAACAATATTTAAAAATAAAGTTGAAATGAAACAGCATAAATTCAACACCCTGATGTATAATACTTCTACTAGGCCCTGGAAACAACGAAGTGTGTTTAATCCATTAAATAACGAGAATAATGCTGTAAAAAAATGTATTTTGATTTCATACAAATTTACTTATTATCATTTTCATTATACACGCCTTCTCACCATTATACCACAGTACTAGAATCTGACAGATGTCTTCTTCTGTCATCTCCTTCAGGACGCATTACGCTTTCTCATTCGCAGCTTTAATGAATCGTATCCTATTCCTTTTAATGCAGAGTGACTAATGGATTTTAACTTACTATCCTGAAATAAAGCGTGGCATGTCCTGAAAGAGTCCAACTTCAAGTCCTACATCCACTTCCTTACTACAAGATTTCGACCCTCTGGCCTTTATACCCATTTGATAGATGCACGAAATTTCATCTCAAAAACAATAAATTATGAGTTTTCATAAAAATCGAAACGATATATATTTTTTCATTTAATTTTTGCCTAAAGTGGACCCTTCGAAATTTCGTCGCCAATCACAAAAACTGTTATTACTTCAGAATTATTTCACCGACTCACACGAAAATCATTTAAGACCCCACAGTATGCTACACAAAATGGTATAAACTCGACCTCCGTAAACAAATTAAAAACAAAGATATAAAATAGAAATATTTTAAAAAATTTTCTAAATTTCTAGGTTAAAAAGGAATTTGGAGTACATACGGACACAAATGCAACTACAAACGGTGGGGCCGGTATCCATTTACAATTTCTTGCGGAGAGTGTTATTGAAGCTGTTCCAACAGGCATCACTTCTTCGAATTATCGGGCAGAGCAAGAAGCTATCTGTGAGGCATCGAAACTAATAAGAATACTGAAGAGACCTAAAAACTCAAAAATTGTATTCCTTACTGATGCAGCGTCAGTATTACAATCACTCAGGTCGAAGTGGAGCAAAAGCCTGATAAAACTTGCCAAAGATCTTGAAGACTTGATGTCCCTTCACAAGAAAGTTGTTCTGCAATGGATCCCTGGACACTGTGGCATCTATGGAAACGAAAGGGCAGACCAGCTGGCAAAGGAAGGTGCCTTTGAGTCCGCAATTTGATTGTAAGATCAGCCTAGACGAGGTAAAAACAATCAATAAAGCGATTATTAACCAACGTTGGCTCAGAAATCATCCACTTCACGACCCCAGAGATGCGATCTATGGACTAACTCGACGAGATCAGGTCTTGATCTTTCGCTTACGAACTGGACACAACAGGCTCAAAGCTCACCTATTCAGTAAGTTCAAAATTGGCTCTAGTCCCCTCTGCGAGTGCGGTGAGGGTGTACAGAATGTGGAACATATCCTACAAACGTGCATGGCCTACTCCCAGCAACGGAAGGTGATCTGACCCTGTCCGACTGAATTGGAAAGGAAACTATATGGAAGCTGGAGGACCTGAGGAGGACTGCCGAATTCTTCATTTTAGTTCCTGAGTAGTCATATAAGGAAGAAAGCAGAAGAAGATGAAGAATAAAGGAATGAAATATAAAACATATTAATGTGGTTTGGAAAAGCAGTAGTCAGCTTTCCAACGGTTGAACTGACGTTTGAATTTGGAGGAACTCTTGAGAAGTTATGAATTCTTCAGTTAACGATCGGTAAAACGATCCTTTCAGAAAATCATGAATTTTTCATAAAAGTTCGCGTTTATGAATTTCAAAGGAAATTAAAAACGAATGCAACTTTCCTTTTCGTAACAGAAATGTACATGACCTAATTTAGTGGAAGCGATTTTTGGTTTTTGTTATGTGATACTTTATTAAGTCTCGATCAAACTATAACAGTTTCTGATACTGGGTCGAAAAATATCAGACTCATGTCCGAGGATTCTTGACAATGTGCTCTACGAGCCGAGAAAAAAATATGTTGTGTAATTTTAAGCAAAATTAATTTTTGCTGAGGAAGCCGCTTATATCCTTTTTCCAAAATTATTAAGACGTACATTCAAAATGTTCATCGAGATGCCTTTTTATTTCGCTTTCGGATTTGTCATATTTATGACGAAGAGAATGTTTTAAAGAGAGAAAGAAGTAATAATCGGATGGGGTAAGGTCTGGGGAGTACGAAGGATGAGGTAGAAAGTCCCAATCAAGCTATGATAGTTTCTGAGGGAATGAGAGAATGTTATAGTTTAATCGAAACTATCTACCTTATCCTCCTTACTCTTTCATCCTCAGGTCTTGCCCCTTCCAATTATTACTTGTTTCTTTCATTAAAAAATTCTCTCCGTAATAAATGTCACAAATTCGAAAGCGAAATATAAATGCATCTCGATGAATATTTTGAAAGTACGTCTCAATAATATTAGAATAAGTATATAAGAGGCTTCCTCAGCAAAAATTAATATCATATATATTTTTTTAAATTATATAACATATTTTTTTCTCGGATCGTAGAGCGCATTGGCGAGAATTCTCGGACATGAGTCTATTATTTTTCGACCAAGTAAAATTTTAGTGAAATCTTTGAATCCACGTTCGTAACCTCCCCATGTTATTCTTAGAATAAAGTTGCTGTTTCTATTCTATTCTATACTGAATTCATCCGGAAAAAGCTGTAAATTGGAGGGATGTTATAGAATATTCCAGCTGTGTAGGAGACCCATATTGACTAGAGTTAGCTAAAGGCCCAGGTGTCCAACTGCCATTGGCAATTACCGGAGGTGTGTACCCGAACTGGCGGACAAACAGAAGATAATTGATTAGCTCGCTTTGGGAGTACACTTTGCCTTATATCAACCCTGGCTACAGTGATAGTGTCAATTGTAGTCCCCATCCTGGGCCCAACATGTTCCGAGTCCATCCCGTCTCTCCCTGCTAAAGTGCATATCACGGTCTCTAATGGCGAGATATTTCGGCTTCCTTCTAAATTTACATTCCAAGAGCAAACAACCAAACTGAAATAAAATTAAATAGAATATAAACGAAAAACCTAATTCCAGGAATAGATCCTTTAAGAACAAAGAACATGTACAAATAAATGGAAAACATAATTGACCAAAACCTGCATTTTTTTTTCATATCCTCAATTGAAAATAATTTTAATAATGTGACTTTTTACAGTTTGGTGTTTTTAATATCCTTTTCTGTAACTGCGTTACATTGTAAGGCCCAAAAAAAACTACATTGTTAAAATTTAAACATTATAAGAGAGGGTTTTCTCAAAATTTGAAACTTCAATTATTTCCACTTTTTTTTCCTATTGTATTGTAATCTGTATATAATTGCGTATTTGGCGAGAATTACGCAGCCTCCCTCCTCCTACCAGATGTATGTTTGAATTAGTTTTCTCGGACCTTCAAATTTCAGTTACAATATTTATTGATTACAATGATAGAAGATAGATAGAAAATAAAATTTATTCTGTGACAAGATCCGCTAAAAGTAGTAAGTATGTATAAATAATTAAAAACATATTTCACCAAAAAGTTTATTAATAAAAATTCAAACAATATATACAGTATCTTTGATGACAATTAATATACAACAAAAAGAAAAAAAAACGGAGGGTGAACGCACCAATTATGGACAGGGGACCCAATGATGGACAGCTTGGACTTTAAATGTAAATAATAAGCTTCCTTGTCGATTTAAAGGCACCAGCTGTTTCTAGTTTGAAGAACAATGCCCTCTATTGACAACTGTATGAACAAAGTTTCCAAAAGAAAATTTTAAAATGCCTATCATTGTTGTTTCTATTGTGCTCTTGAGATCAGTGAGTTTCATACCTTCCTACTGACAGGTTTGCTAAGAGTAATTTGAACATTTATGTTATTTTAGCTGTATCGTTATCTTAATAGTTAAATAAAGATTTTAGATTTTTTCTGAAGTATGTCCATTACTGGTACCGACCCCTTGTTCAATACTATAACAATTGAATTTCGGGATGTCCATCACTAGTGCAAAAAGGTGTTGTTGTTTTTTAATGGAGATTATATCTGCATAACTGAATATTTTTTTTCAATTTCAAAGTGTTAAATAGAAAAAAGGAGACCCAAGAGATTCTAAATGTCCAATGGAGAAGTTTGTAACTATAATAATTACAGCGGCATAAGCAAAAAATAAAAAGTATTCCTTAGCTAAGATCATCACTGGTGCCCTTACCGTAATAGATAATTGTAATGTAAAAAAGGAAAAAATCAATGAAAAGGAAAAACAAAAGGTTAGAAACATTACGAATTGATTCTTAATCTATCTATTCATAATATAATTTCATGATTGTAGGGCGTCTGTTCATGATGTAAGAAGCTATAGGTAACTGTATTGAAGCTATAGTACTTGAATGTTGATAAGGAATAAGCATGGCAGATATTAATTGGCTGAGAATTCCAGAAGGCAACGGAGCGGGTAAAAGTGGAACGTTGGAAGGTTTTAGTTTTATAGGAAGAGTATAGATATCAGAAACACGGGATCTTGTTTTCTATGACTATACTGATGATTTGCGCTCTAGGAGATGGTAGATATAGGAAGGTTTCTGGAAGTTGATCCTCTAGTATAAATAAGATGCGAGGAAGTATTGACGGCGGATGGAGGAGAAAAGCCAGTTTAAATATTCATAAAGGTGGGCACACGAGACCATCTCGAGGTACCGAAGACAAATCTTAATAAGCAGTTCATGACAAACTTCAATCTGTCTTCAAGTACCATCGGGATGCTACCGTACACCACACAGCCATAGTCAAAGTAAGGAACAATCAGTGAGGATACTTGGGCTTGGGGATGGGTTCTGGAAAATGATTACGGGAACGATGTAATAATTTCAGGTTGCCTCTTGAACATCGGGTGATATTAGCAATGTGAGATTTTTATTTGTTTCTCACTGTGGCTGCAAGCTCCACCGAAATGCCTAGGAGTCCACTGTTTTTACTTCTGTTTCATTATGCATGTATTACTTAGGTCTTATCTAACTATAATATTGTATTCCAAAGTGGGTTGAGGTAAAAGAATTAAATATATTTAAATACATACACGCACGCACTCACAGAGAAGAATATAACCATACAAATAATATTTCTTGGTTTATTGAACTCTGGAAGCAAATTCATTGGAACTTATAATTATTCAAACCATTATCACTTTACTAACTTCAAATAGGAATTTATTAAATACCATTTCATTGTTACAATGAAAACACTAGAAACATTTTATTGAAATTTCCATAATCATAAAATGGTATTGAATTTACATGTACGAATTCACAGTTGTGGGATCCGTAATTGAATGATCTAAAAGGTTTGCGAATCATCAGTGGGATTAATGGATCAAGTTGATTCTAGGTGCATTAATTAGTCTATAGTAACATTTCATTTTCCATAGCGGAACTGAAATGTATTTAATATTTATTTTTTTAAATCCTTAAATAGGTATGTTGATTATTATATGCTATATGTATTCAGGTATCTGGGCTGAAAAGAAAAGATTGCTTCACTCCATCACTGCTAGCTGTGAGTTTGCATGTTTTTAAATATATATATATATATTTTTAACTATGTAGGTATATAATTAGATATTTATTTTAGTTTCTGTTTGTTGTAATCAGTCCTGTGATCACAATTAATCTTTTAGTACATCGTTGCTATTCCTGACGGATTCAATTCCTATATATATATATATATATATATATGTATATATATATATATATATATATATATATATATATATATACATACATACATATGCAGTATAATATAATAATAATAATAATACACATGTCATGTGCTTCATATGATTAAAGGGAAGCCAAGCAACTCTGGGAACATATTTAATGAAGCATTGCATATTAAACACCTAAAAAAGGAAGAGATATATAAATATCTTGGGATAGAGCAGCATGTAAAAATAGCGAGTAAAGAGGCAAAAAAACAGACTGATAGAGTCGTTGAAAAAAATATTGAAAATTATTCTTACAACATACCCCAGGCTCAAAAATAAAAACTGTGAATACGTGGGTTATACCAGCCATATCTTACAGTTTCGTAGTTTTAAAATGGTCTACAACTTCAATCAGGAATTGGATAGATTTATACGGACGAGTATGACTAACTACAGAATGCATCACCCGACTACATCTATGGCTAAGACTTTATTTAAAAAGAAAGGAAGATGAGAGAGGTCTCATATTCATTGAAGAGGCGTGCCGGAAACAAGAAATGACCCTCAGAGAGTACTTCAAACAAAGTGAAGTACCTTTTCATTGGATAATGTGCAATCTCGACTATGGACACACAACATTACAATTAGCCACTCCAGAAACTACTGCATCCGTAATTTTCACGGACAATGACCGACTGGAAGAATGCAAGTCAAAAACTCTGCATGGAAGATTTTTTTTACCAACTCCAACAAACTGAAATAGATAACTGTAGAAGCTACCCAGAAAGCTGTGCTGTTGAAAACTTCGAGAATCGTAAGGAGCTTCCTAAATATCCAATAAAACTACAAACATTAACGTGAAGTGGTTGAAGTTAATTCTTTCCCACTTCAGGAAAATACATTTTTTTTTTTTTAAAGTGATAAAGAATAATAATAATAATATATATATATAAAATATTTAATACATATATTTGAATTTCAGTATTATGATATTAGACTATGACTTTGTGCATCAAAGCGATATTATTCTCATTTTTTTAATTAGTCCAGTTCTAAGTGAAACTCCTAGCTAAACACACCTCCCTGAAGAAGACCTGCAAAGTCGGTTCACAACAACGGCTTTTAATAAAATAGTTTTTACCACTATTTAGCCTATTTATGACCGCCACCCCGTACCATCTCCTTCCTTTATAATGCAACGGTCAATTATTAAATATTCAATATTCTAATTTTCGTTTTTTATAAGACTTACATAATGCCATACACCTATTCACTTAAGGCATATGCAAATATGCTGTTTGGTTATAGTTTTTGCCATTGTAGTATAAACCCTGTTCACCAGAAATGGCGAGTGGAGGGCAAAAAAAAAAGATGTTTCTTTGCGGCACTCTCATGCTGTAGCATTGTGCTCTCATGGAAAAAAACAATAAACAAACATATTTACATATTAACCATGTGAATAGGTTGGTATTTTGTAACTCAGGGTGCTTCGAAGAGGCAGCTCGGGAGAGGTGGGCTGATATCCTGCTTCTCCTTAACTCATAAAATATTACAGAAAACAGAACGAAATGGACTGATTTTGCGAAATGCGGCAAGGCGTGGAAAACGGATTTTCCGAATTGCTACCTGGAACATTCGAGGTCTAACCGGAAAGGAGAACGAGCTTGCAGAGGAAGTTAAGAGGGCCAAAGTGGATCTGAATCACCGAGACCAAGAAGAAAGGAAAGGGAGAATTTAAATCCAAGATTACATATTATTATATTCAGTGGTTAACGGGAATGAGAGAACAGCTGGAGAAGTCGGATTCTTGTTCCATAATGTCTTGGCTTCAGTAAAGCCCTCACACCGAACCGCGGTAGAGGAGGGAATGATTATGACGATATATGTAAAAAGCGACTATTTCCTTATGATTTATTAGTACAACTTCATATTTTATTTATCTCTGCTATCTTCCTATTTAGCAGACTACTTATAGAGCAGATGCAGCCAACAAAATGTCACCTTTAGGGCAAAGGGATTAAACATGTAATATTGTAACATACGAGCTTTTGCACTAACAGTAGCGAAATTTTCTAATCTCATTGTAACTTGTTTATAATCTCTTTTAAACTAAATCATGATGCTGAAACCCGAATGCTAATACATGATTAAAATATTGTTTATTTGTAAAACGGATTAGTTCATTTTCAGTTATCTATTTTTTGCTTAGTGCAAGCTACTCCTGTCGTTTGGGTCGTTCCTCCTCGTTCACACTTCCTGTTATTGTCTTTATTATTGTTATCATAAAGCTAACCAAAAAGTTTTAGCTCGATAATTATATATCAACAATAGCACACCGGTTGCCGGATTACAGCATTAGTATCTGCGTGTAAACACCACAAACTGCTAACCAATTATAAGATGACTGCCGACACAAAGAAGAGGTAATCCTGAGATTCAAACAGCTTAGCAGGCAGCGGACAGCTGGGATGATCCGCCTGACTCACTCGCTACTTTAATAACGCTCACAAATCCCGACCCCCTCTCCCCCCAATCCACTGGATATTGCCATCAATCCAAGCCCTCCCACTCCCCGCACTTAATGAAATTCGTTATATCAATGTCCTATCACCCCATCTGTCGGCCATCCTTTGCCCTCATCGTTCATTTATGATCCCGCCTCTAATGATCTACACCCCCATGTAATTTTGGGGATTCTCCAACCATGGTACAATTACTTTATAATTACACATATGTGTGTTTGTGTATATTTTCTCTCACTGTCTCTCTCAGAGGGAGGGAGTGAAATAGAGAGAAAAGGAGCGAATAAGTCTACAGAGGTTACGGACGTCAGGGGTTACTCATTTCAATGAAAAATTTTTTTGGTGGTACCAGGTCAAAAAATATTATAGCCGTGTCCTAGGTCTACACAGTGCGGCATATAAAATTTTAAAAAAAATTCATATCATTAATTTCCTTTGGTCAGCATGGATTTCTAGGTAATAATATGTCTACCTATCTATCTATTTTTTTTATTTATTATTTTGTTTTTTTTTTGCGATCGGAAAATAGGATGGACATATTGCTAATTGTGTTAAACGAATTCAAATAAATAATTTAAATGGATAATTTAAAACCCTTAAATACAAATTTGTTTTTAAATTAAAAACATAGTTTAAAAGTTTTTAGATTTAAATTTATGGGAAGATTTTTTTTTTCATGTCGTTTACTTAACTAATCATAATTCCTCAGGATCTTTTCCTGTTTCAACGTTATTATTACAAGCGTTGGAAAGCTGAATTATTACTCATTCAAACCATAAAAATAGATTTTACGCTTTTACGAGGAATAAATAAAGAAAAGTTTCACAAAAGTTTTTATTCTTTACACCTAGTTCTAACCTATATACTGTATATGACATATACATCCCGATTTCTTTAATTTTTTTTGTAGGATTGAACAAAATCGATATTGGCACCTCGAAAAACACTTAAATACGAATTATAATTTTATTTTATTATTATATTTATTAAAAATATTTTAACCAATATCGTGCAGTCAAGCGGAATTTCCGGTCACTATTTCAAGAACCACGATTAATTTTTAAAAATAAATAATGCCTTTTTTCTGATATAGCGAAGTCTGGATATTCCTTGAAAAACGGACCGAGTTGAAAACACTCCGCTGGTATTTTTTAATTTTCCCCCGAGAGTATTTTTTTCTTTTTTTATATAGCTTAAGGGATTCTCATTCGAGTGAAGGAGGGAACCTATAAAAAAAAAAAAAAAAAAAAAAAAAAGAGAAAAGAAATAATAAAAAAGAAAGAAAGAAAGATTCCGAGGTAAATCCAATAGCAGCCTCAAGTATGTCTTGATTAAACTTCTTTTGCATTTGACCTGAAGGGGATGGGGAGGAAGGGAGGATCAGCTGAATATTTCGGAATTAAAAATTCCACCGTCGCTTCCCCCCCCCCCCTGTTCCATCCGCTAAAGCTCCTTGGGGATTATTTAACGACTAATCAACGTTTAATGAACTTCAAAAAGATATTAAAGGGATGCTTGTTGAAGGAATGTTAAGCTTGTTGAACTAACTGGCGTGGTCTCATGCAGCTATAATAAATATTACAGGCACAGAACTTTCCTGAACTTTCCATTTTGATTGGAGGGATTACAAAAAAAAAAGAAAAAATGGCGTGTAAAAATTCAACATAATTATTGTGAATCGAACAAATATAATATATTTTGTTTTTATTGTTTACCACTTTGTGATAATTTTTTTTAAAACAATTTATAGGATCACACTGGATAATGAGAATCATCAAACTTAATAAACTTTAAAATTCAAAAATTTATACACCTGCAAACGGACATATAAAAGTATGTAATTTAACAATTCAAATTTACACATAACGTACAAAAATTTGAAAGTATGAATTTAGTAGACTATTTTTATTAATGTCTATTTAAGACTGTTTATGGAACAGCGTGGAATCGAGAATGTTGACGAATTTGTATATCTTGGTTCATTGATAAATGCACGAAATAACATTGATTGTGAGATAGACAGGAGAATCGCAGTGCCTAATCGGTGCTATTTCTCCCTCCAGAGACATCTTCGCAGTAGAATGTTGTCAAGACAGGCCAAAATAAGAATATATAAAACTCTTATTAGACCAGTGCTCACAAATGGCTATGAGAGCTGGACTTTAACAAAAGCAGTTGAGAAATCCCTGCTCAGATTTGAAAGGAGAATTATACGACGCATATTTGGGTCCAGGAAACACCACAGAATTGGAGGAGGAGAACGAATTTGGAAATAAAGACATTATTTAATGACCTGTATGTGAGCCAATTCGTACCTAGCAAGACTACGCTGGGCGGGACATGTCGCGCGGATGGATCTGAATGCACCCCCAAAGAGAGCTATGAATGAGCCTGTGTTTGGAAACAGACGAGTGGGAAGACCGTGTTTGCGCTGGCAGGACTGTGTGGCTGCTGATGCATGTAGACTACTTGGTGTCAGAAATTGGAAGGCTGCAGCACCTAACCGGGAGAACTGGAGATCCATATGGAGCAGGCCAAGTCTCAAATAATTGGGATGTAGTGCCATTTAATAATAATAATATTTTTATTAATTTAATATAGTGTTTAGTACAAAAGTAATTGTGTAGTGGGTTACATTAAGAGAAAATAATGTCAAAAGATTTCCGACAATGAATTCATTCTTTCAACATTTAGGCGTATGAATATTGACTCATTTTGGCAACATTCTTGTCAACGCAGAGGCGTTTTTACTCTTCTTTCTTAGATATCTGGTTACTGGATATTGATGGGTACAGATCCCTTGAAAAAAAAGAAACGGAGGGGGTTGGCTTGGCAACCCCCAGGAACAAGTTCTTTGGCAAAGTTAGGGGAGGCTTCCAGATTAATCACCAAAGACTCTTGAAATAATTAATTTGGAAAACCTGAGAAAAGGGTGAAAAAAAAAAAAAGATATTGCGCTACTGCGTTTGATGAAACAGCAACTTCCTTTAAAAAGAAATATATAACCACTACAAGAAGTTGGAACCAATCTAGAATATTTACTAGGAAAATTAACGCTTGACAGCAATGACTGATTACTACATTACATACAAAGCTTGTTCGACTAAGTCTTGTAAATTTTCTTATATTTCCTCATACCTTATAATTATTTTCTTTTTCCTTGTTTCACGTGTGAACTGAGGGTTTTTTTCAACTTCTCACTCAACTTCATGCATCAAATATACCTTTCTTTAATTACGCTATAAAATATTCCAAGAATTTTTCTTTCCCACATGTTTAATAGAATTCTTCATGGTGTCGGTCTTCAGGACTCGCTCCCACATCTAACAAGAGGTTAGTGAACAAAACGATTTGTTTGTATTATTGATATGAAGAAGCAATCTTTATTGATTATTGATATAATTAAAAAACGTTTTCATTGGCTAAAAAATATCTATATTACGAGGTCTACAATTTTTCGTTTACATTAAGTTAAGGTCTACAAAATCTCTGAAAGAAGCCGTTTCGGAAATTCAGTAATCCTTAAACATGTACGGACTTCATTTCAACGAACTTTGTTTATCATTAAACGCTTTTTTTTCTTTTTGACAAAATGTGACATTGGTAACATGGTATGTACAACATGAAGAGAAACTACCCATTGGTAGAACTCAAATTAAAGTTCTATATTAGAAGGCCATCTTCTTTTCGAGGAGGAAGCAGGGTTTCAAACGAGAGAGTTCGGATGGTTCTGCAGTTTGTTACATCAGCAAATGCTAAAATGCAAAAGAATTCCAAATTTGCAGATTGCATATTTTATGATTCGTAATTTAAAAAAATAAATTCGCGCGTGTTTTGCTCTTTTTTGTGGAGAGTGAATTAGATTGAGCCGTGAGATTTGGGATGTGTAACGTTTGCATAAAGTCGGCTGGAGTCGACTATTTGAAGTATTTTTGGGTATGTATTAAAATATCTCAGAAACTAAAAATCGGACCTGCATACTGTGAGGCAATTGCTCAACATTTCATCCTCTCTGCAATGGATTAATATTTAAAATTGTATCTTAAAGCGGCGTCATGTTAGAAAGGGGAAAATGGAAAAATTGTGTCGGAAACCAAATGATAACTAGTTTTATTAAAGATATGGATTAAAATATCGCAGAAACTAAAAATCGGACCAGCATACTATAAGTGAGGTAGCCCTGGAGCTAGGTCTTAAAAATATACCTACCTCATCG